CAGCCTTAATATGTACTTTCTCCCTGTATGCAATTATCACAGTCCTGGATGCAAAGCCCATTTGCATAATTATCAGGCGTGTGGAAGGTTTATGAATCCGTCTTCCAACTTAACCCCCCCCCCCCCCACAGTTGGCTTGCTTGGCTGTTCATACTCAGGATAGTTGCTAGTTGCTTATCAAAGACTGACGGCCCTCACAATAAGACCGGTCTCTATTTGCAAGGTTTTGTTTTAGCTGAGGAGACCTTGCTACTAGCATAGGTTCTGGATGAACTGTAAGGCAGAAGGAGTTGATTGGCTGTGATGTGTTCAAAACTCCACCCGTGTTTCTTGGAAGGACGATGCTAAAAGAATTTTAAGAAGATAGGATTTAGGATAACAGCGTCCTAGAAACCGCAGCCACAAATGTGAACGTGTGAACCGACAGGGAGAAATAGGATTTCGGTGAGCAGTTTGGAGGGTGATCATTATTATTTTTCTTTCCTGGTTAGGCAGCTCTTTCGGATCGAAGGGGTTAAAAGCGTATTTTTCGGAACAGACTTCATTACCGTCACAAAGGTAAATCTAAAAATGCCACACACAAGCCCGATAGTCTAAATCAGGGGTCCCCAACCACCGGTCCGTGGACCGGTCCCGGTCCGTGGAACAAGTCCTACCGGGCCGCTGGCTTGCTAGGCGCCGCCATCTTGTTTTGATGAAAAAGTGCTTCCGGTGAGCTTTTCCGGGTAGAAAGCTCACCGGAAGCACGTTTTCATCAAAAAAAGATGGCGGCGCCCAGCTGATGTCGGTACCGGGCCGCGCCATAAAAAAGGTTGGGGATACCGGACCGCGGCGTAAAAAAGGTTGGGGATCACTGGTCTAAATCACTAGCTATATAAATGGATTTTTTTTCTCTTAATATGCTGCAGAATTAGAAGACAGAGATGGCTTTTATATCAGTTGAACAACGTTTGGAATTCTGCACTGTTGATTTAGGTGTTTCGATTCAAAAAGAGGCTTCTTTGCAGTAGTGAAATGTTTTCTATAAAATTTCTATAATTTTTTTTTAAAGTATGAAAACACCTATGAAAGTGCATTCCCCATAAAATAAAACATATACTTCCCATAAAACTGAAAATAGAAAACAAAAGACAGACCCAGTTATGGTGCTCTGTCCTGCTGTAGGTTTGCCAGTCCAAGGCTTTTAACTTTTTTTCTGTGTTGGTCTGCTGGGCTTGAATTGAAAGGGGACACAAACAGATTGTGTAACATTTGACAAATGTTTGTTCTGCTATGGCGGAAGGTAATATTTTCTCTCTCTCTCTCCTGCCATTTGAGATTGGACTGCCTATGAGGTCCATTTGCAAGTGTTTGAACATTCATAAGATTAGTTTTCATGTCTTCCTGTTGCATTGATTGACGTTAGTCTGACATGTATCAGACAGGGATGAGTGGAGCCACTTGAGATCTAAGAGGGATACGTACCTCTTCCCTTTTTGAGGGGTTTCCTGACATAATTGATGAAAAATAGCAGTCTCCTTTTGACTATTGAACAAGTAGGCCCCGTTTACAAATCCTACTTGCCGACTGCAGACGCTCTCTGTGCCCAGAGGCAAGCTCCTGCGGAGTTTGCCCTGCCAGCGGTAGTAGGAATCCCAGAAGTTTAGGTGAGGATGGTGAGTCCAGGAATAGGAATCCAGGAATGGTCTTCCTCCCTATTTATGGTCTGTTTCTTTTTTTTTAAATCTTCATAGGAAAGTGAGGAGGTGGACTGGAACTTAATAAAGCCCGATATTTATGCAACTATTATGGACTTCTATGCGTCGGGCTTGCCTATTGTTACCGAAGAGGCGCCTCGTACAGACACAGGTACAGGGACAAATTCAGATGCTGGCAGCCGTGGGGAGCCACCTCCTTTGGGCTCTTCCACTCCCTCCACCTGTCCTCTTGCAGAGGTGGGCTCTCTAGGACAGGGGTCTCCAACCTTGGCCACTTTAAGACTTGTGGACTTCAACTCCTCAATTTAAGAGGCCGTTGGGTGAGGGGTGTCCCTGTTATTCAGGAATGCCCATTAAATCCAAAGTGTGTCATTCATTGCAATTCCATTGCTTGCATTATAAGATCCTTATTTAAATTATACAGGATTTGACCGAAAGTGTGTCATTTGACAGTGGCTGTTATTTCACATTTAAGAGAATCACCGAAAACATAGTCACCGAACCGGTAGTAACACCAGTTGAATCCCACCCCTGGCCTGTCCCCTACTCCAAGTTGTAAGGAGGGCGTGAAGCTCGTTCTGGTTGCTTCTTTGGCACTTTCTGCAGTGCGTTGACTAACTATATTTGCCAGATGTATTTGGATTAGGTAGTACAGGTTTGGCTTACAAGCATTTCGTTTAGTGCAGGGGCGGGATTCAACCGGTGTTACTACCTGTTCAGTGACTACGTTTTGCTGTATGCGCGTATGTAAAAACCCTTAAGCTGTGCCGCCTGGACAGCTGGAAAGTGCTGCGTATGGCTGCGCAGCATTTGAAAAGCCACTTTTTTCCTGCTTTTTCAACCGCAGCTGTGCCGTGCAAAGCAGATGAGGTTGAAAAAGCAGGTAAGAGCCCAGGTGGGCAAGTGGGCCAAACAGCAGCAAACACAGAACTGGTTTGGTGCCTGCTGCTCTTCAGCGCTCCCGGTTCTATAGAGCCAGGCAGGACCAGTGTTATCCAACCCCTGGTTTAGTGATAGTTCCCAGGGCTCATAGGATCCCCACCTGTGACCTTCTGACAAGCGAAGTCAGTCAGGAAGCCAGATTCACCGAACAGCCACGTTACTGACATAACCTCTGCACTGATTCCCTTAACAACTGAAGTTACAACATGGGGCAGAACTCACTGAACTGTCTCACTTAGCAACATACATTTTGGGTTGTAAGTTGAAGACAACCTGTCTTTTAATTACTCTTTGCCCAATGAGAGAACCGTGATTTATTTGTTTCAGCCCCATCTGAAGAAGACGATGAAGTGGTATTAATGATAAAAGAGCTGCTGGATACCAGAATCAGGTAAATTTGTCTGCTGTGTGTGCTTGGCCTATAAAGCGGTGTTTATGCCGGCTGGGGAATTCTGGGAGTTGACGTCCACAAGTCTTAAAGTTACAGACTTTGGAGATCCCTGGTCTGGTGTATCACTGATGCCTGCCTGCGGACCAGGAGATCTCTAAGACAGAGGTCTCCAAACTTGGTAACCTTAAGACTTGTGGACTTCAACTCCCAGAATTCTCCAGCCAGCTAAGTTTGGGGATCCCTGCTCTAGGACAACAAGCCCCCAGAGATTCATATGGGCTCATTCTGACCTTGTTAAAACCTGGCTCTCCCCCAGGCCTTGGGCTAGAGTGGGCTGTTCGCTTTGCAAAATTATTTTATTTTCCCCAGACATTTTCTCTTTGTAGTGTATTTTTTAAAACTTGGAATAGTGTCTGCTTTGCAGAGTTACCATTGTATTTGAGAGCTATAAATGTAATATAATAAATGTTGCTGTCCTTACATGTTCACCCTTATTACTCAAGTCCCAAATTTTCAGGTAAATTGCTTCTGTTCAGCAAAGAGCTAACCCAAAGATCACCGGAGAGAATTCTTGAAACAGTGTTCACATTCTGGTACTTCTGTCAGTATTCCTACTGGAGCACTTCCAGGATTTTAAAATGTGCTAGTGGGGCAAACAGGATGTTCACTATTACTTTCAAGGGCCAGAGAAACCCCCTCTTTCATTGCAATGGAGTTACTGCTTTCTTAAAGGAGTATTAATCGCGTTAAACCCTGTGTGTTCATTCTTCAGTTTTTGACAGCTGAGATGATACTTTGGGGATTAGCAAGTGATAAAAACAGAGGTAAATATGAGCTCTGCCAAGTTAATCTACGAATCCACTGCAGACACAAATGGGTATCAAAAGATCCCGTGTATAAAGAAGTTAACAATGTTTGCATTCATTTCACGCATTGGAAAGATATATGCCCTCTGGGATTCAGGGCCTGTCCCATATTTCAGTTTTCAGGGGGGGAAAAAAATGAAGCTTGAACAAAGATGGAGTTTTGCTCTCCCTGAATGGGCCAGGCAGAAAAAGACGGTTCTTTATGTTGCTGTAAAAGGATTGGAATGAAGTGGCAAAAGTGCTTTTCCCAAAAGGCAGTTGGACTTTCTTAGGGTTTTTTTTTTCTTGAAAACATTTCACTTCTCATCCAAGAAGCTCCTTCAGGATTGAAGGAATGAAGGGAAACAGCAAAACAAAGCTTAAAAGTTATTGTTTCTTAGTTACAGAATTCAATCTGGTGCATTTTTCTAATGTGGGTCAGTAGGATCCTTTTCATCTGTTGCAGTGACAGTTCCAGAGCCAGAGTAGGAGGGAGTGGGACCAGGAGAACCACTGCATTCTCTCCAGCCCATCTCCTCCCAATTGGCACTGACAGGATGCAGTAAACAATGCAAACCTGGCACATTGATGCAGGCTGGTTTAAGTTTGCGTGGCTGTATTTTGCCAGATTCTTTCCTCATAAGGGCCACGTGGCTGAGAAGTTGCTCTGGGGTAAACAAGGGTATCCGTGTCTTAGGGAAAATGTTGCTAATGCAAAGAGAAGTGGAGCTCCAGCCTGCTCCAGGAATCAGCAGTGCCACGTGGAAGGTAGAGAGGTGGTTATGGAAAAAAAGGAGAGAGAAGAGAGGTCCGTGCGTGGGCTGAGAATCTGAGCTTTACTTTGAGACGTTATTGCAGACATTTTGAGCATTTGCTGCCCGTAGCGCTATTTCGCAGGCCTGCAGCTATGAGTCTGTGCTTCTGTTGTGGTTCGCCGGCAGCCGGCATAGCTAACAGCAGAATCAGACAGTGGGGAAGAACGGGAACCAGTCAGGGAGTCTAGAGAGGACTCGGACAAGGATCCTGCATCTGATACAAAGATGGGACCAGGACCATCTGGGAGTGGGGTGCCGACTCTGGAGCCTCCGGAGTCTGGCAGCAGTGAGGCAGAGGAACAAGGGGAGCCTGTTCCCAGTGTGTGTGTGCGCGCAGAGCTGCTAGAAGGCGAGAGCAGCTGAAACAAAAGGCGCGACTCGGGAGTAAGGCTGGGAGGTGATTTCCCTTCCCCCATAAGGGATAAAAGTCAGGCCAAGAGGATGAAACTTTTGCAGGAAGCAAAGTCGTTCGATCGGTTCCTAGTCCTCCTTGAAGCTCCGTGTATTTTAGTTGGTTTTTTTTTCTTGTACTTCGGTTGGTACTTCTTTTATAGTTAATGGGATACTTCTATTTTTGGCAGCCTTCCACAAAACCGAAAGGTGGGTGCTTATCTTGGGGGACTGTTTGAGATTAGTTCTGGCTGGGAATGGAAACAATCCCCAGCCTTGCAACACAATAGGTTTTGCTTTTAAAACACGTTTGTGCTTAATTACGTTTGACGAAGCCTGGCTCAGAACAGCGTCTGGCTTAACATTCCTCAGGCCAACCGTCCAGGAGGACGGGGGCGACGTCATCTTCAAGGGCTTTGAAGACGGCATCGTGCAGTTGAAGCTGCAGGGATCGTGCACCAGCTGCCCCAGTTCCATTGTCACCTTGAAGAGCGGCATTCAAAACATGTTGCAGTTCTATATTCCAGAGGTGGAAGGCGTGGAGCAGGTAAGCCCCTTTTGGGGAGGCACGAGCTGTGCCCCACCTGTCTTCTCCACGTCCCCCCCCCAAAATGATCACAGCGTGGGCAAAAAATTAAAAGAGGTATTGACGTCTTACCTGTTTAAAAGGATCAGGGTTGGTGCCGGGCGTATTCAGTGTTTCCTTCTGGATATTTTACCCACTCAGAATTCTCTGAACAGATTTGGCCTGCACTATCACCATGAGAGGGATGCTGCGGTTATTTTAAAAGAGAGCTCTCCAAACTTGGCAACTTTAAGACTTGTGGACTTCAATTCCCAGAATTCTCCAGCCAGCTATGCTGGCTGGAGAATTCTGGGAGTTGAAATCCACAAGTCTTAAAGTTGCCAAGTTTGGGGACCCGTTTTAAAAGATGCCCTAACCTCCCAGGCTTGGTTTTCAATGCGATAGCCTTGGTGTAACTTCCTGCCTGCCTCTTGCTTTTCAGGTTGTGGATGATAATGAAGAAAAAGAAGTGAAGTCAACCTGAATCAGGGAGGAGCCCTGGACTACGGCCAGAAATTATGTGCCCGGTGGGTTTGTCTCAACTGGCCCAAATGCGATTTCTTCATTGGGCCAATTCTTATTTTTGTTCCACTGTATAAGAAAGCAAGCGAATAAGAAGAAGGTGGCCCATCTTTGCTTTACATGAACAAAAAAGAGGAAAGCACCCAGAATAGGCATGTTCCTAACAGTTTCTCAAATACTTTCTTCCTCCCTTGGATTCAAATATTTTTTTCTGAAGTATCTTCTTGAATATCAATTATCTATTTATTTGGCAGGCTGTCTTGTCTCATTGACATGTGGTCATTTCTGGAGATGATTTGGTCATAGAGCACTGCATTTTTTTTTTTTTAAAAACCAACCTTTCCCCCTGCTACTTAGATTCCAAGAATAATTTTTTAAATTACGCTCTCATCAGGAGGCTTAAATTTGTATTTTTCATTTTTTTTAAAAAAATGCCCATAGGTTCAATATTAGCCATACCACTGACATTGACCTTATTTGCGTAGAAACTATCTGGTAACGCTTTGTTCCAAAATTCAGCAGACTTCGCTATACTTCTTGGTAATCTTTTTTTTTAACAATTGGGCTAGGATTTTTTGTGTTTGGACCCGAGCACACCTATAATCACGCTTTGGATGTAGAATGATGATCTCGTGTGTGAAGTGGAACTTCTCCAGAAAAAACATTTGCAAGTGAGGTGTTCGTAGATGCTGTGATTGTAAGAAGATAATTCAAGTGTGTTGTGGTCCAATAAAGTCCACTTAAGGGCATTTACGTTTTAGAGCAGGGGTCTCCAACCTTGGCCACTTTAAGCCTGGAGGACGTCAACTTGGCTGGCTGGGGAGTTGTGGGAGTTGATGTCCACCAGGCTTAAAGTGGCCAAAGTTGGAGACCCCTGTTCTAGAGGAATGCATGAGCTGGGTCTCTTTAAAGATGAGATCATTTTTGAAGGACAGTTTTAAAGAGGGCTTAGCCTGAAGGTGGGATGCATAGCTTTTGAGGAAGGGCCTTGCCATTCTTCCTAACCAGTCCTCAAGGACAGAAAGAAGTCTTGTGGATCGGTGGGAGCCATTGAAGGGGGTAGGCTGACTCTGCCATTGCCAAATTGGGGTTTTGAAAAAGAGACACGGGAGGTTTTTTTCCTTTTCTTTTATGAAAATGTTAGCTTTTATTGCATAGTCATATTTATATCGTCCACGATTTTCTTCCAGAGCCTGGGAGTCTGATATGGATTTCTCAATTATAAATTTCCTTCCAGAAATGAAAAGCATGCCAAAATTAAGCTTTCTGGGAAGTGAATTTTGTACTCACTATCCTATCCCATGATTTATACAGAATTGCGGAATAGGCAAAGCAATCTGAAATGAAAAACTTACATTTTTTTTGCCTTTGTTTGTAACAATCAAGAAAACAGAAACCTGTCCTCTACGTTTCTCAAATTTAATATTTTATTCTATTATAGAAATACTTTCAAGTGTCCATTTTCCACCCCGAGGCAAATAAAATAGCTAAAAATAAATCCAAGATTTTACAGTCTGCCTTTTTCTTATGTATCCATGGATTGCAATCCACATATAATCCACAGTTAACAACCCACTGCTTTCATACAGCATGGAAAATGGAAAAATGGCTAATTTGTAATTCAGGTGGTGTGATTCATATAAGCAAGCAAATGAACTGAATTTTCTTTTTGTTTTCTTTCTCCTTCCTTTGTAACCAACTTGCCTGCTCGTCTTATACAGTAAAAACCAATTTTTTTTATTTTGTTCTGGAATGCCAGTAAGCATTATGATCAAGTTGTTTGGGTAGCATTATCCTTTCCTTTCTCTTTAAACTCTTCCAAGCGAAGCAGCCATTTGTCCCAGTACTGGGAGCACAACTCAAAGCTCATAAAATGTGAATGTGCAGGGGAACCATCATTATAGGCCACCACAAGCAAGCCACAATTAACCTGGAAGTCATAGTTTCTGTCATGATTAATTGCTCCTATGTATGCTGCAATTTGTAGTGGATTATCATATGTATTTTGAAGAAAGGGCTTTGGTTTCTCTGAAGTCTTCCAGTCAATTAGACATAATTGTCCGCGATAGTCTGCTATGCAGTCCGCTAGGCCTTGGTAGTAAAGGGCCTCATGTTGTACTGCACTTTCAAGAGCTCTTACTCTAGTAATATCTTGCAGCACATGCTTTACACTCGTTACGTAGCTTGAGATGCTGGTGTCTTCTTCCTGTTCCTTTACCACATTTCCTTTAGCTAACAGTAAGGCTTCCATGGCTGCGTGGAAGTTCTTGCCCTTTTGAAAAGTATTTTTAACGTATTCTTCGAAGCCTTCTTTGCCAAGTTTTAGAATCATTCGCTGTTTCCACCTCTCCAGGTAAAAGGCCTGTTCCGCAGGCATGGTCTGGTGCAGAACCGATGTCACACTGGCCCAGCGGTTCTTCTGCAAAGCAATTTGCAAGGGCGGCCCCTGGGGAATTTCCTGCTGCTGAGGGCTCTTCCTGGGATTCATTAAGGGAACCCGGTTCTTCAGAAGTTTTGCTTCTGCTTCGTGAGCTGGAGGTTGGTTCTGACACCCTGCATCAAACCGTTTGGGCCTGTCAGATCTACCCTGGCCCGAAGTGAGGTCATTGATCAAATTTCCATATTTTGGGAGGTCAATATTTTCATACTCTGTTCTTTTTTTCTTATAAAAAGGCAAAGAAATAGTGAGGGTTCTATGAAAAATATTTTTCTTACTCAACGGTGTTGTAAATACCGCCAAACTTCCACTTTTCCTAACCAACAGATGGAATGACCCCATACTCCCAACTTTACAGATGGTGCAATCCCAATTCTTTTTTTTTTTTTTTTATCTTTAGGAAACACTTCTAGTTTCTATTTCCTTGTTCTTTAGGAATAAGACACCTTTTCAGTGCCACGATACCCCGCCTAGTATAGTAGAGCTACTTCTCTTTCCCGGAGAGAAAGTCGTCCCTTCCCTTCCTGGCGCTACAGCTCGATCTCTCTTCTGCACGGTTCCAGTCACCCGACTCGGTTCGGTTCCATTCACCAAGACGGATCAGTTCCGTCCTGCGCCGTGTTTGGGGTTCAAACACTCACCGCAGCAGAGATGGCCAAGTGGGTGATTTTTTTCCTGTGGAAGTCTGCCTTTCCTCCCCCCTCTGCAAAGTCGAAGGAACGCTGGGCGGAAGACAAATGATCTCTGCACAGCATCCGTCCAGCGAAGTTATCAGAGGTTGAGCTGAACAGCCGCTCCCTGCGCCCCCCAATGTACAGGCCACCGCGCGAGTGGGAGGCTTAGGGCAGTTTGATGCGCTTCTTCCGTCGTCCGTTTCTGGAAAAGAGAAGAACAATGTGGCATAAACTTGGGAGTGAAGTAGCTCCTTTCATCGCAAAGCAAGGCAGCTCAGACACGTCCTTTGCAAGGTGACATTCCGGTTAAGAATCCTGGAAGTTTGAGGCGGCTGATTTCAAAGGTTTAAAATCAGTTTAAATGAAAGCAATTGGGATGCAATTCTGAATGTGGTCATTCCAGAACGAGGGTCTCCAAACTTGGCCACTTGAAGACTTGTGGACTTCAACTCCCAGAATTCTCCAGCCACATAGCTGGGAATTGAACTCCACAAGTCTTCAAGTGGCCAAGTTTGGAGACCCTCGTTCTGGAACTTGGCCTGCACGTTGTGAAGGAAGGCACAACATGGCTCAAACTTAGGTTTAAAATTGTGCTGCTGCCTTTTCCTGGC